GTGGAGTGTGTAGTGGAGTAGAGGTAGGTGAAGTGGAGTGTGTAGTGGAGTAGAGGTAGGTGAAGTGGAGTGTGTAGTGGAGTAGAGGTAGGTGAAGTGGAGTGTGTAGTGGAGTAGAGGTAGGTGAAGTGGAGTGTGTAGTGGAGTAGAGGTAGGTGAAGTGGAGTGTGTAGTGGAGTAGAGGTAGGTGAAGTGGAGTGTGTAGTGGAGTAGAGGTAGGTGAAGTGGAGTGTGTAGTGGAGTAGAGGTAGGTGAAGTGGAGTGTGTAGTGGAGTAGAGGTAGGTGAAGTGGAGTGTGTAGTGGAGTAGAGGTAGGTGAAGTGGAGTGTGTAGTGGGATGAATTGATAGATTAAAAACTCAATATCCACAAATAACTTAGAGAGAATGATATATATACTCAAGTCAGCTCAAGTGGCAAATCAAGACAAATCTAAAATGGAGTGTGTTGTTACATAATCATCAAGTTCACAAAAATAGGATTCTTCTCCATATTACAAAGAACAAGTTCTAAGAATCAACCATTGCAGAGCCAGAAACATCCATTAAACAATTCACCACTAATATTGACCATCAATTATACATAATTTACACTAATAAACTTGTGTAATACACAAAACTGGATCAAGTAATTTATAGTTACCAAATTACAAATACCATAATGAAAGCAAAAACCACAATAGTTAATTTTTACAAAAATCTAATAAATGGCCGCTTGCATCACTAATACTAAAATTCCATAAATGCTAATAAAGTTAAACAATTGATTCCATAAACCATAAATGAATAATATTTTCCTTCATTAAAATTTTGAACAAATTTAATTCAGATATATCCTCTGAACGTAAAGTTTGTTTAGTTAATTTAGTTGAAGAAAACAACACCCACTGTGTTTGTTGACAATTCCTTTTTAATGCCACAAGTTCTCTTCTCTTTTTTTTCCCCGTTTTTTAAATATAAGCATAAATCCTCTCCAAACTGTCACAGAATGCCGTAATCATGTCCTTGGATATTAGGATAATAGTGATGTATAAGGTAGGTAACATGTGAACATCTACAAAAGAATTCAAAGAAAGAAGAAAATGAAAAAGAATAACTAAAATATTAAACCAAACCAAACCAAGCCTAGCCTTAAGTCCCATCAAATAGGGTCGGTTACATGAATCCTTCTTCTCCACGCGGCCTTATCAAAGGGCATTTTGTTAGTCAAATTAAGTAAATCCATATCTCTATTTACAACGCTAACCAACGTTAATCTAAGCCTACCCCATCCCCTAACACTCCATCTACCGTTACAGCATTGCATCTCTTCACTACTGTCTCTATTGGTCTCCGTTGAATATGACCAAACCATCTCAATCGATTTTCTCTCAACTTATCTTCTATCAGTGCTACTGCTACCCATATCCGAATACACTCATTCCTAATTTTGTTTTGTCTAATCTTGCCACACATCCACCTTAGCATTCTCATCTCAACCACACTCATCTTATCTACATGTTGTTTCTTGGTTGCCTAACACTCCGTCCCATACAACATCACTGGTCTAATAGCCGTTCTTTCTATAGAACTTACCTTTAAGTCTAGTAGGTATTCGTTTATCACACTGTACCCAGACGCACTTCTCCATTTACACCATCCCGCCTTAATCCTATAGGCCACATCCGTATCAATCTCCCCCGCTGTTGTGATAATCGACCTTAAATAACGAAAATGTGCACTCTTAGGCAATTCTTGGTTCTCAATCTTCACTTCTCCTCTGCTTTCATTATTACTGTTACTAAATTTACACTCCATGTATTCTGTTTTAGTTCTGCTTATCCGAAATCCTTTAGATTCAAGAGCTTTTCTCCAAATCTCCAACTTTGTATTAACTCATTCTCTAGTCTCATCCACTATCACTATATCGTCTGCAAAAAGCATACATCATGGTACGTCATCCTGGATATTTCTCGTTAACTCATCCATACTAAAGCAAAAAGATAAGGACTTAAGATAGATCCTTGGTGTAACCCTACAGTTATGAAATTCATTTGTCTCTCCAGCAGGCGATTTAATAGTAGTCACCACCCCTTCATACATGTCTCTAATCACATCAATGTAACATTTTATCACCTCTTTCTTCGCTGACACCCACCATAGTATATCCTGGGACACTCTATCATATGCTTTCTTAAGGTTGATAAACACCATATGAATGTCTCTTTTCTTTTTTCTGTACTTTTCTATTACTCTCCTCAAAAGATAGATTGCTTCCATTGTTGACCTGTCAGGCATAAACCCAAATTGATTCTCTGACACCTCTGTTATATCTCGCAATTAGCATTCTATCACCCTCTCCCACACTTTCATTAAATGACATATTAGCTTGATTTCTTTATAGTTGTTGCAATTCTAAACATCTCCTTTATTCTTATAGATTGGCACTAATACTCTTCCTCCACTCATCTGGCATGTTCCTAGTCAACATAATTTTGCTAAACAACCTAGTCAACTAAGCAACCCCTTTTTACCCAAACACTTCCAAGCTTCAATAAGGATATCATCTGGTCCTAAAGCCTTATTTGATTTCATCTTTTTAAGTGCAATCTCCACTTCAAAGTTCCTAATCCTGTGATAGAACCTATAGTCTTGGTTTATCGTATAACTAGATATTTCTTCCCCTATTTCCGTACCTCCATGTTCCTAGTTTCTCAAAATAATTCTTTCATATTTCCTTAATCTCTTCATCCCTCACCAATACCTTAAAATCCTCACTCTTGATGCACTTAACTTGATTAAAATCTCTTGTTTTCCTCTCCCGTATCTTAGCAAGTTTGTATACCCTCTTCTCTCTCTCCTTACTATTTAGTCTAGTGTATAGGTCATCATAAGTTTTCAAATTAGCCTCTCTCACTACTTTCTTGACCTCTTTATTAGGCAATCTATAACTCTTAAGGTTTTCCTCAGTTCTATCATTTTGTCACTTTTTAAAGCATTCTTTTTTTGCCTTAACTACCGCTTAAACCTCTTCCCTCCACCACCAAGTTTCCCTAGAGCTGGGTTCCATTCCTTTCGACTCTTCAAGCACTTCCCTTGAGATTCTCCTCATACAATTGGCCATCGCGTTCCACATAGCGTTAGCATCATCTTTCAAGTCCCACGTATCTTCATTATCCATTCTATTCTTAAATATTTCTAATTTATCTCCTTTTAAGTCCCACCATCTCGTCCTACAACGCCCACCATCCTTCCTAGCTTGGTATTGCCCTCTAAAACATAAATTTAGTACCAAAATTCTATGTTGAAAGGTCAGGCTCTCTTCAGGAATCACCTTACAATCATTGCATTTTAAGCAGTCCACTTTTCTCACTAAGAAATAATCTATTTGGCTCTTAACTGACTCACTCTTAAAAGTTATCAAATGCTCCTCCCTCTTCTTATACATAGTATTGGCCACCATTAGGTCAGAAGCCAACGTAAAATCTAAGATATTCTCTCCAGCCTCATTTTGGTCACCAAAACTGTATCCACCATGCACCCTTTCATAGCGTAGTTTATCTATGCCTACATGGCCATTAAAATCTCCATCTATAACCAGGTTCTCTCCTACGGGTATCTCCTGTAAGATCTCATCCATTTACTCCCAAAAATCCCTCTTAGTCTGATCATCTAATCTTACTTGAGGGGCGTATGCACTAATAACGTTCACTATAGTCCCTCTAATAACAAGTTTAACTAACATAATCCTATCCCCTTTCCTAATGACCGTCACGACATTCTTCATAAGACCCTTGGCAATTAAGATTCCTACCACATTCCTACGTTTATCCTTACAACTATAATACTATTTAAAACTGGTATCCTCAATTTCCCTAACTTTCTCACCCGTTCACTTAGTTTCTTGTACACAAGCTAAAGACGGACAATAGAAAACTATTTCTCCAACTGTAATAAATTAACGTAGTGCACATAGAAGACACGAGGGCCGTTGCATGCGCAGTTACACCCAATTTTAATAGGTACCATATGCCATTTGTTTGGAACCAAATTACATGAAAAATGTGGACAACACATGAATGAAAAAGTTTTTGACATGGATTTATCTTTAATATATATGAGGAACAAAATTTTCATTTGTTTCCATTGAAATGGCCGAAATGTTTCCATTTCCCAAGAGATTGAAACAAAACACTAACGGAATAATAAAATTCTAGTGTTTTCATTGAAACACATCAAAACATAATGAAACACACCGAAACATAGTGTGATATACAAAAACAGTAAATTGTATCTATACAAACTTAGAAATTTTCATAAACATTTATTACTACTGCTTAAGTAAATTTTTAGACCTTACTGGAAACTTTTGTTTAATAAAATTGAGTTATTTGACAATACTTAATAATTTTTAGTTCATAGTAACATTAGTTTTTTTAATTCTTTTACGTGAATGACTATATGAATCTCAATTTGTTTAATTAATCAATTATTAGGCTTTTATATATTTAGATACATTTCAATTTATATTTTCAAACATTTTTATTTTATCTTCATTTCATAAAATATTTATGAGATGCTTTTGTTTCGATATTATTTGAAACAACACACCGAAACGAAATTTTGATCTTTGTATATATATAATATTACTTGAAATTCAAAGACCAAGAATCATCAATTTGCTGATTCTTTGAGCACAGATGCAAAAAAAAAAAAAAAGGGGGGGGGGCAGGCTTCCACACACAAATGCAGTAGACATAACATCACACAAATTCCATTACAATATTTACGGTGTTAAACATCCACTGGTTCAAAATTCGTAGGAGATTAAGGTCTCGTTTGGCAATTCACTGTTTTAGTCTAAAAGTCAAAAAGTCACTAAAAAAATTAAAAAACCAACAACTTATACAAAAAAGTCAAAGATTTCCTTTTTTCTCTTCTTTTTGCATCTCTTTTCGTAAAAAATCAAAAAGTCATTTCAAATATACTAATTTTTTCACCTCATATTTCAACAAAAAAATCAAAAAATTACTAAAATAGTCGGTTCCAAAACGAGGCCTAAGCATATGAAATACAAAACATGTTAACAATATACAAAAAATTAACAAATTGTACGTTATGAGTCCATTAAAAACTTTGATGTATAAGAATATACTTAATATTAAAATATCAACTAAAGCCAACAAGGCAGCAAAGATTAATCAAATAATGGCGATTCACCCTCTGAGCAAAATGGGCAGCATTTTTCCTACTGATTTTCAAGGGGTAAAACAACAGGAAGATATTCAACCAATACAATTTAATAAATGACTTCATTCAACTTTTTACAACATACAAGTTATCCAGTAACCAAAATTCAAACTATAATATAATCAAGGACACATCATATAAATGCATGTACATTTAAGCTGATGAATAATCAGTATTGATGATCTGCGAGAGTGAGTTAGTTATCAAAAGAAAAATAGCAAATTGGGACATCACTATAACAACCTATATATATGAATTGCCACCTCATACACCATACTGTGAAGCGAAGTCTCACATCGCTTGAGTACTAAAGTAATATTAAGCATATAAGCGTGAGGGCACCCTCACCTTAATAGCTAGCTTTTAGGGTGAGTTCTACCCAAGATCGTGGAACATGGTATCAGAGCCAGAGTACTCAAGGATGGGTAGGGTGCGTGTCCTTGGCCTACACGCCGCAGGTGCTGCCAAGTGAGCACGTTGGGCGTAAGGGAGGGTGTGAAGCGAAGTCCCACATCGCTTGAGTACTAAAGTAATATTAAGCATATAAGCGTAAGGACACCCTCACCTTAATAGCTAGCTTTTAGGGTGAGTTCTACCCAAGACCGTGTAACACATACTACCCAGAAATTTCACAAACAAAAATAGTGGGCGAAGCCAAGCTCACTACATTTTCACTATATGCAACTATAGATAGATAAAAATCACTCAACATACCTCCATGAAATTGTGAAACTACGAACATTCTAAACATGAGCTTTCCCAAAGCCATTTTTCCCCTAAACAAAATGGAAGGCCATATGATGAAAGTTAGGTAAAGATAATATAAAAAACAACACCAAAATGGTTTCAACTAAAGAAAATTCTTACCAGGATTGGTCAAAGTGTACATGGGGATAGCGAACAATCATTGGATGGACAAGATATTCAGGGACAAATGCACCAAGTTGGAAAGAAATGAGAACTCTTTCATTTGTTGTGGTTCCCTCAGAAATAAAAGCAGACGAGGAAATCTATCGAAAGAAGCCTTTCTTTGTATTCAGATCCTTGAAAGCACATTTTTGTATCAAATAATCCCTTATAGATTGATAAAACTTGATACTCTGAATTTTTTTCATACAAAAAATGTAACAACTCCAGGTATACAATTAAAATTGCTTTCAATTACCATATTTATTAGAATAATTGACCAAAATGAAATTTGGACACTTGATATGCGTATATTTGTTTGTAACTTTTTAAATCGGCTCTTACAATAGCAAAAAATTTGTTTAATTTTTCTAAGCATTTGCAAACTACTTACATCATAGCATCTCATTCTCTTTCTTTCTTTCTTTTTTTATTTTATTTTTTTTTACATTACCCTCATTTGACTGGGCAAAAAATTCTCCCTTCAATAAGAATTTGTACCAGCATAATCACTTTCAATCTAAAATTTCCCGGTCACTATACAAGCAACTTAACAAATACAAAAATATTTTATTAATGACTAGCCCAGAAAATCCAAAAACTAAGGTTTGATTTTCATAATCAATTTTGAAAATAATTTTCTAAAAATTTGTTTGGCTGTATATTCTCAAAAATAGTTTTCATAAATTTAAAAATCCAAAACTCATTTAGTTTTTTGAATCTGAAATAATTTTTAAAACTTTGTTTGGTTTTGGAGTTTTCAAAAATAGTTTTTAAGTTTCAATCCGTATTTTATTATTTTTAATGAACTTTTTAAGTATTTAATCAATGTTTTTCAAGTTTTTAGATCCACTCAATCTAAATACACCTAAAACATATAAAATTTATGAAAAAAATCGTTTAAAAAATCACTAAATATTACAAATTTACATTTTCGTATATATTAAATTTTTTTAAACTTCTTTAATTTATTTAAAATTTTTAAATATACGTAGATTAGATGCATCTAAACAATAAAAATAAAATAAAAATTAGTCAATATATTAAAAAAATAAGAATTAAAAAATTTTAAAATTTGTAAAAGTGATATATATCTATATATATATATATATACGTGTGTGTGAAAAACACTTTATTGTTTTTCATATGATTTTTTGTTTTTTAAATCTGAAAATATTTTTTAAATGTTTATATCTATAAAATTAGTTTATGTTTTGATACCTGGCAATTTGAGTGCTTGTAAAACTGCGGTGGGAATCTTCACAACAGAGCTTATCACTCATCAAAAAACATCGACTTTAGGTATGTGAGCTAAGTGGGGCAATATTTGCCTTTCCCCTTTTCACAATTCCCTGTTAGTCTAGGACAAAGCTGGATACTCAAGCTTATAAGTGAGGGAGGCAGCCTTTGCACTGGTAAAGATTTGAGCCTAGGGCAAACCCTGATACAAAGAAATTCAAGAGAAGCGAGGTTTTGAAACAACTTAGAAGATAGCTTCTCCAGATTTTGGAAACCCCCGATCCAAAGATTGATCAGAGAGGTGGGCAGCAACTTCCCATCTATAGGAAAGCTGGAACCCGCTACACCTTCTTCTTCTTCATCATCTGCCACGCTAATTGCGCCTGAAATCGACAGTGTTGTAAGAGAGGATAAACTGTGCAAACCAATCTTCTTGAAGTTGTTGTTCCATTGTGAAATATTCATTCACAGCGATTGAAGAGAGGTGAGGTAGTTGATGGTCTGCAATCCGTGTGGTAGGGCCTTGAGTTTTTTGCATCCCTCGATATCCAGATGTGTCAGATTTGTTGCGGAGTGGAACCATCCTTCCGGAATGTACTCCAAATTCTTACACCCATACAAGGACAATCGACTGAGATTCCTGAGATTATTATTATTATTAGGAAGGGCAGCTGGCAAGTATTTGAGCCTATCACAACCAATGATCCAAACACACTCAAGAGATGGACAGTTAATTTCCATCCCCTCTTCTACTGCTAGTAGTGCCTCCAACTTTTCACACCCCCAAATCTCAAGCTCTTTGAGTGTGGGTGGTGGCCCCCCACCTTTGCACGATATCAAACATATGAGGGATGGACAACCATGTATCTTGAGTGTTTTCAGCGTGCACGGAAAACCTGTCTCTGGAAAAGAGCAGAGACTCGGACAGTTATAGACATACAACTCTCCAAGAAAAGTGAAGCTGTGTAGCAGCTATGGCAGTTTCTCTAGCTTTTCACAATTATGTATTGCTAGATGCTCAAGCCTCCTCACTATGCAAGGGAGTCCCTCTTCTTGTTGTTGCTGCTGCTGCTGCCCATGTTGCCATTTGGTGCCTTCATCCCCATCTTCTTCAAACAATGAAACAAGCTGGGGGCAGCCTTCAATTTTCAAACGTCAGAATGTAGGGAGACTGTGTTGTATTCTTGCCTCATTCTTCCACAATGTCTTGAGTTCTTCACAGCTTGTGATCTCCAATGCTTCAAGTTCCATCAGCCCATAAGTGACCCATTTCGGCAAGAGCTCAAGCTTCTTAATCATCCCAATGCTCAAAGAAGTTCTTGAACTCGGACGCTTAGACTTTGCATTTGCCGATATCACTTCATCATCAACCATACTCCTCATCTCAAGGACTACTTGAAGGCTTGTTAGAGGAACGTCATCCATAGCTATCGAGGTGAGTGATGGGAGGCTAATGCTGGAGCCTTCAACTAGGAATTGCGGGCACTTTGAAATCTCTAGATTATTCAAACAAGGTAGATCCTTGGGTATCATTCCGCAGAGTTTGGGGCAGTTCCTAATTTCTAGTTTATTCAAACAAGGTAGATCCTTGGGCATCATTCCGCTGAGTTTGGGGCAGTCCATAATCTCTAGATTATTCAAACAAGGTAGATCAGTAGGCAACCTTTTAAGAAGTTTGGCACATTTTATTATAGAGAGATACTTGACATGAGTGAATGGTTGAACTTCCTTGTGATCTCCAAAAGTATACCAATCCTCCCATTCTGGCATATTCTCAAAGCTTAGAGTTTCCAGTAACAGAAAAGGTTGAACACCACCTTGCCCATAAAACTCACGACCGACATGCTTTAGCACACTCATTCCTTTAATGTAAAGCTTTTTGAGGGAGGGTAGTTGTCCGAGTGGTGGCAAGGATGCACAATTTCCACAATTATCTAAACTTAGGTCAGCCATATTGGAGAACAGAGGATCTCCTATCCAATTCGGAAATCCTGTACCAAGGTAGCCTTTGATATGGAGCTCTTTTAAATTCTTGTGAGGTTGTAGCATGTCAAGGACTTCTGTTTCAACTCTTCCATCTCGTGAATCATCTGAGTTAACACTCCATTCCATTGATAACACATCTAACCCCTTATCATTCAAATTCGCCTCCTTTGCCTTGAATGGAACCACCACATTCTGTAACCCAAATAGGCAAAGCTTCCCCCGAAGATAAATTAAATTCCCCAACTCTCTTAACCGATGCCCACTGTTTTTAGTAACAATGAAATTGGACAGTGTTTGAAGACTAACCAACTTACATATTCCCAGTGACAATTCTTCTAAGGAATCTGCACCGGTGGTATTAAGATAACGTAGGTCAATTAGGTTTCCCAAGTCTATCGGCAACTTTTTTCAGTTTTTCACATTCTCTTCGCATCAATGTTTGTAGATTGTAAAGAGAGCCTAATGATTCAGGTAATTCTTCAACGTAGGTGTTGGATAAGTTACGATACCGCAGATGTTTCAAATCTCCAAGCGAATTTGGAACTTCTATAATGCGATATCTACTCATATTGTGCACCCTCAAGCGTCTTAGCTTCGGCAATAGATTAAGGGGAACATTGCTTGCCAAATAACAATTCCAACCATATGGTGTGTAAAATGGTAAGAAGGTCCGTAAATGCATGGCTTTATCAAAAATCTCAAATTTTTTCATACCCTCACAGGACTCCCGCATGTAAGATGAATGTCGAGCTTTCTTTATATTTTTGCACTGCTCCTGATGTTTCAATCTATCCTCCAATCTAAAACAAGTATCTCTTGCAACTACTTGAGCCAAATCATTGATGAGGTCGGGCATAACAAATTTAGAGCTTTTACCAGTACTTGATGGTTGGAAAAAAGACCTTGACAACAATTCCCGAAAGTACTCACCTCCTACATCTTCCATTTGCTTACCTCTTTGTTGCCGAATGAAGCCTTCCGCCATCCACAACAAGACCAGCTCATCTTCCTCAAATTCATAGTCGTTGGGTATTATTGAGCAGTATGCAAAGCACTGCTTCAAATGCGAAGGGAGATCGTGATAACTTAATCTCAAAGCAAGAAGGATGCCACTTTTTGTGTATGGTAAATCCCATATTTTACTACGCAATACATTTATCCATTCCTCATCTCGTACTTTGCTGCGTAAAAGGCCACCAAGTGTCCTAGCAACCAGAGGCAAACCTTTATATTTCTCCACAATTTCCTTACCAATTGATACCAATTTTGGATTTGCATCAATACTTGTATTCGCAAAGGCATGTTGTGCAAACATTTCAATCTATCCTCCAATCTAAAACAAGTATCTCTTGCAACTACTTGAGCCAAATCATTGATGAGGTTGTGCATAACAAATTTAGAGCTTTTACCGGTACTTAATGGTTGGAAAAAAGACCTTGACAACAATTCCCGAAAGTACTCACCTCCTACATCTTCCATTTGCTTATCTCTTTGTTGCTGAATGAAGCCCTCCGCCATCCACAACAAGACTAGTTCCTCTTCCTCAAATTCATAGTCGTTGGGTATTATTGAGCAGTATGCAAAGCACTGCTTCAAATGCGAAGGGAGATCATGATAGCTTAATTCTCAAAGCAAGAAGATGTCACTTTTTGTGTGTGGTAAATCCCATATTTTACTACGCAATACATTTATCCATTCCTTATCTCGTACTTTACTACGTAAAAGGCCACCAAGTGTCCTAGCAGCTAGAGGCAAACCTTTACATTTCTCCACAATTTCCTTACCAATTGATACCAATTTTGGATTTGCATCAATACTTGTATTCGCAAAGGCATGTTGTGCAAACAATGACCAACAATCCTCCTTTGATAGGATCTTAATGTCATGAAGTTCAACAGTTGTCATCATTCCTGCAACTTCTCTGTCACGTGTAGTCACCACAACTTTACTCCCTTGGGCTCCATCATTGAAAGGTTTCTTCAAAACATTCCAGTCATTGTATTTTTTGTTCCAGACATCGTCTAAAACAATTAAAAACTTCTTTCCAGCCAAAGCCTGCTTTAGTTGAACTTGGACTTGGTCCAAGTTATTAAAACTAAATGTTTGGGAAGTCACTGACTCAAGAATTGCTTTTGTTATCCTCATAATGTCGAACTCATCTGACACACAGACCCAGGCTTTCAGATGGAAATGCTTCTGCACAGTTTCATCGTTGTATACCATCTGAGCAAGGGTGGTCTTGCCAATTCCACCCATACCCACAATGGGAATTACACCAATGTTATTATGACTTGATTCATCCCCCCTTACGAGCAACTCAATTATCTTTCTTTGATCATGTTCTCGGCCATAAATGCGAGGTTCATCAAACAAAGATGTAGAGTCTGGTCTTTGCCAAGTCTTAGTCGTAGGTGTAGGGGTGGTTCCAACAATCTTAACCAAATTAAGTTTTGAACATTGTTCAAAACTATTGTGCAATCTGTTATTCATCTCCTCAACCTTGCACTTCATTTTGAAATTAAACATAACATCTCTTGGCTTGAAATTAGGGATGAGGTTCCATACCTTGCTAGAACTAGCTTCGGGCGGCTTTGCCTTGAGCTTGTGTCGCAAAGCTTCGGTGGCGAACTCATCCACTAAATCATCCAAATCATATGCTAGATCCTCGAGATCATCGAGCCACAAGTTCACGGCTCGATCGGTCAGTTGCTTCTCCTCCGCGTCAATCAGAAGAGCTTCAATTTGCGACAGCATATTGGTCCAATTGGTCAGCTGGGTATCAATACCTTCAAAGGTGGGTAATTTAGATGAGGCAAAAGAGGTTATCTTTCCAAATAACAAATTGACGAAGCCAGAGACAAAGATCCCTTCTATAGGCATTGTTTCCGATTACAGAAGGAAAAGAAAAAAACAACAGATCAGAAGCAAAGCAAAACAAAGAGGTTGTTTACTTTTTTTGAGCGAAAAAAGTTTAAGCAGTCTCAAAAATGGCTATTTTTGTGAGACGAAGAAGAAATCATTGAGCGAAGAAGAAGTCAAAAGTGAGTCTCCTTTCATTGGCCCCCTGTCCCTCTGCGAAAACAACAAATAAACTAAAAAAAATAAAAGAACCCAAGTTCGCAGGTAGAATCCAATTATTTTTTAATATATTTTAAAATAAATTTATATCTCTATCATGATTTTTCTCAGTTGGTAGTGAGTAGCCTAAGAAACTTTTCAATCTTTATCCAACAATATGCAACAATATGGAGTTTTGGTTGATACATTTTCAATTTTATTTGAATTTAAAGTAAAAAAATATTATAAGTAAAATAAAAGAAGGGGTTGTTTGGAATGATCTAAATAAGTGCATTTTTTGTCTTTTTACGAAAAGATGTGTAGAAAAATAGAGAGGTGATGTGTTAGAAAAAAATAAAAAGATGGATTATTTTTAGATTGCCAAACTTGGCCTAAAATTTAAAATCAATTATAAAGACTATTAGTGTAATGTATTTATTATATTATTAGTCATTATGATTTGTTTTGAATTTTATTTTGATTTTTTAATTTTACACTTAATTTTTTTTGTTCCAATTGTTAACAACATTTAACGAAGGGACCATCTTGTAACAAAATTTAAAATGTAAGGACCAAAATGTTCAAATTAAAATTATAATAACTAAAATGACACTTTGCTTAAATTACAGAGACCAATGGTTTAATTTACAATTTAATTAATTTTTTTTTCTCTTTTGTAAGAGATAATTGAACAAGTATTTTAACATGAATAATGTAGAGTAGTACTCTAAAAAAATTTAAAATATAAAACGAAATGATTTAGATTATTATAATGAAACTCGTAATGAACTTTATGAGTTCGAACAATACTCTTCAATACAGATCAATGACTAAATTTTTTATTTTTTATTATTTTTGTGAAGATTTGTCTAACAATCATAAAAAATAAAAATAAAAAAAAATTCTTTTTCACAATAGAATTGACTTGATTTTGTTGTTTGTTTTATTTCCCTGTCTTTGGTTGCAAGTTGATAGCTTGCCAACTGCTAACTTGGATCTTCCTTGGAATCAAGATAGGGAAAGTGGTAATGTTTAGTGGGTAAAATTAATTTAAATTGGTAGTTTTTGTATTTTGTCTCATATATCATTTTGATTCATATATTTTTAATTGATTTGATTTTAAATTTTGAATTAATTTGATTCAATTAATAACGCCAATTGGTGTTTTTGAAGTAAAATCGTTAATCATATGATTGAGATTGATTCACTAAGTTAAGAAAATTTATAATTTTATTTTTGAAAACGTAACTGCTACTCATGTGTACACTTTTCATAATTTAAAAATAAAAAAATAAAAAATAAAAAAAGTTAATGATTGCAGTCAATTAGGTTAAATTGAGATAATAAAAAATTTAAGATCGAAATTAAATTAATTAAAATTATAAAGATCGAAAATAACAAGTAATGATACTTAAGATTTGATTTGGTTAGTTTCGTATTAATCTTTGTGGAAAAAAATGTCAAAATTCACAAATTTTTATCAAATGATTTTGTATTTTCAAAATAAGAAAGTATAAATGTTTACGCATTTTTTATTGGAAGGATCTTTTAATTTCACTATAAAAAATGATTATTCCCAAAAGTAATTATCAAAAACAGTTTATTAAACAAAATTTTCATATCAACTTCCGATTTTCTTTCTTTTTTTTTCCTTTACCAAACGAAAATGTAAAATCGTCCAATTATTTGACAGGATCTTTAATTAGGAACAGATTCAGAATTTAAACTTTAGAGAATAAAAATATATGTAATTTTTCATCAAAAATAAGTATTGTAAAATTTTAAATTTTAATTTATACCAACACAAAAAAATGAATAATATTAGTATTAATTGAATTTTTTTTATCAACATAATTGAAAACAAAAATATAATCAGACATATTTTTTTGGTTTACATTAACTTAACAAAAATCTTTACTATTATTATGTCCACTTCTCTATTAAAGTTAATTATCTGAAAACATGAAAAGAAAAAATTCGAACTTGATAATTTGCTAGTGAAATGTACAGAAATGAGTGAGAAACTGCAAAAAAAAAAATGTTATGAGCCACATATAAAATAGACACTAATACTATAATTTTCAAGAGAGAGACTTGCTTAATGTTTTTTTCCACTACTTTTTATTTATTTATTTTTATTTATCACTATTTTCTTCTTTCCGTGCAACCATTATAATTCACTTCCACCTTATTTTTACATTCCATATTGATGTTATGTTTGTGAACATCAAAAAGCATAAGAAAAAAAAGGGTCAATTACAAAAGTAATTATAAAATTTCACGCGTTTTTCATTTTAAATCTCAATGTTTCAATTTTAACAAATTAAACGCTAGAGTTTTATCATATTTCAATGTGCTTCTTTTGTCCATCTCCATTTGTGTAAGATAATAGAGAATCGTTTTCGAATTTAAAATGAAAAATACTAGGATTTAAAGTGAAAAACACGTGAAATCTTTTCTTTTTTTTTTGTAATTAACCCTAATATTTGGTTTTGGTTTAGTTTTGGAATTATGATTTAAGTGTGGAATAGTGAATTGAGTTTTGAAAAGAGAAAAATGTGTTTGGTTATGAGTTTTGAAAAGAATTTTAAAAAGTGTTCTGAAAAGAGTTTTTAAATTTTGAATTTTGAAAAGAGTTTTGAGTTTTTAAATTTTATGGATCAATTGCTTTAAAATATTAAAAAATGTTTAAGAAAATTTTATTTTTTATTTTAGATAATAATTTTTATTTAGATATATTTAAATTTTTTTATTTTAAATATTTTATTTTATAAATATTTTAACTTTTTATAACTTTAATATTTTAAACTCTTTTCACAACTCCAAACTCAACCAAATACATAATTCAAAACTCAATTCAAAAATTATTTTCAAGACTCATAACTAAACACATAACTTGAAATTCCATACTACTTTCAAAACTCTACACTTAAATCGTAACCAAACACATAACAAAAAAATTAAAATATTTAAAAATATTTTTATAAAATAAAATAAAATATTTAAAATAAAAAATATATATATTTAAAATAAAAATATTTTTTTTCAATTTTTTATTATTTAAAAAAAAATACAACACAAAAATTTATGAAATATAGCGGATTGGGTCTACCCGATCGTCCAACTAAACATCCCCCAGATGTCTAGCCGGTTGACCGGAACAATGCAATTTTATTTTTTTTACAATTGCAACCTGTTATTTAAAAAAAAAAATTATATTTGTTTTAGATATTTTTAATAAAGGAATTATTTTTTTTAGATTTTTTTATAAAAATAATTTAACAATCCTATCACTAATCATCTTCAACACTATATCAATAAAACAAACGTACTTTCATCTAATCTCCTCACTAACAATTCACACATTAACAATCCCTCACTAACAATACCATCCAACCTAATCTGTCAAACAAACGTGACCAAAACTCTTTTTAAAGCTCATAATCAAACATATTTTCTCTTTTCGAATCTTGTAACTCAAAACACGACTTCATACTCAAATCATGATCCTAAAAATAATTTTAAAAAACAAAATAAAAAAATATTTTTTTAAAATAGAATTTTGAAAAGAATTTGGTTTTGAGTTTTGAAAAAAAATTTGAATTGGGTTTTGAATTGTGTATTTGATTATGAGTTTTGAAAATAATTTTTGAATTTAGTTTTAAGTAATTTTGAGTTGTGTGTTTGATTATAAATTTTGAAAAGTATTTTGAAAATTTTATGTTGAAATCATGATTCCAAAAGTTAGCCAAACGCAGCCTTCAATTTTGTTGTGTGTATATATATAACTTGTATATCTTATTATATATGTACATGTGTGCTTGTATATATGATGAAATTTTTTTATTCATATTTTGACTGATACTCTCTCCATCTCATTTTATTGGTCCATTATTACATTTTTTTGTTGTCCCAAAATGTATGTTCACTTTAAAAAGTCAAAATTTTAAACTAAAAAAATTTCAAAATTATCCCTTGTAAAGTAATTATAAATATATTTGAAAATGAAAATAGAAGGGTACTTTTGAAATTAATTATTTAAAATTTGAATTCAAAGTGTAATGAATTTTCAAAAAGGGATTATCAATATTGGATGGAGAGAGTAAAATTTTGATTTCGTCTGTAATTTTAATGACTAAAAATAACATTAATCTATTAAAATAATGATAAGTGTCTCTTACATTTTAACTAGCCTTAATTCATTAAAATACTGATAATTGTCTCTTACATTTTAGGTAGCTTTTTTGACATAGTCGTTAAAATTATGGACAAAATCAAAAATATATCATTAGAAGAGTCAAAATTTGAATAAAAAAATTGCACCATATATACAAACACAAATGTACATATATAATAAGATACGTAAGTTATATACATACACAAAAATAATAATAAATATTAGGGTTAATTACAACAAAAAATAAAAAACTAAAATTTCACACATTTTTCTTTAAATTTCAAAATTATTTTCTGTTACTTTACACAGACAGAGATGAATGTAGGAGGGGGCACATTGAAATACGAATGAAACTCTAGGATTTAATTTGTCAAAATTAAAACACTGGGATTTAAAGTAAAAACTGCGTGAAACTTTGGAATTTTTTTTTTAATTAACCAAAAAATAATAATAATACAAAAAAAAAGAGAGAAAGAAAAGGACAAAAATAGAGAAGAAGAAGAAAGTAAAGTGTGAAAACAATAATGACAAAAAAAGAGAAGAAGAAAGTAGAGTGTGAACACAATAATGACAAAAATAGAGAAAAAATAGAATGTGAACACAATAATGAACACAATAATACACAAAAGTAGAGTGTGAACACAATAATGACAAAATTATTTTCTGTTATTTTACACAAATGGAGATAGATGAAGGAGGGGCACATTAAAATACGAATGAAACTCTATGGTTTAATTTGTCAAAATTAAAACATTGGAATTTAAAGTAAAAAATGCGTGAAACTTTGAAATTTTTTTTAATTAACCCAAAAATAATAATAACACAAAAAAAGAGAGAAAGAAAATGACAAAAATAGAGAA